TATAGGTGATACGCACCATACCATCAAAATTTTGACCATCGAAATCACTAAACCAATTTCAATATCATACACCCCACATAAAGTCATTTTACATCTCCTTGCCAATTTTCAAATCATTTACAGCAAAATTGAAAAGAAAATCTATAATGTAATGCCATTTTTTGAGTAGCCATAACTTTACATAGAGAGTTCCTTTTGATACAAAAAAATATTCATTAGAAAGCTTTAATAGTGCAGTTTTACTTTCTTTAATAATGAAGTTTATCTTTATAATGAAAATAATGAGATGTTGTTAAAAAACGGTTGTTACACGGTTCGAATGTTTATATGAAATGATAGAACATAGTGAAAATTTGAAATGTTGCACTAATTTTTTTATATTGTACAACGTAACTTTACAATGCACGGCAAACATTCTGGTAATAAAAAGTAAGTGATAAACTGGATTTTAATTGGATCTGAACTTGATCTCTCCAATTTAGAGAGGTAACAACTATATATATATACTGGTGAAGTTTCAGGAGCAATGGGTTCTGTATAACATTTCGTGTAACAACAAACTTCCACTATGCTAAATGATAGTATATTGTGGTAGTACAATTGTGATGCTAAACAATTTTGCCTAATTTGTCGTATTCGTCACTGTTTTTTTGCCCTCCACATTTATGAACTCTTGGCGTCTATGAGCAAATAAAATTAGAAAAGGGGTGAAAATTTTGCTAGAGAAAAATCATTTTACATTGTTGATCTATTTTGGAGAAAACGACGGACATTTTTAGAAAAAATTAAAATCAAGTTATTACAATAAAAAAAAAAAATATCTTAAAAAAGCAATCGTTAATTTTAGATTTCAAGCCTCAAAAACTAATATTAACAAAAATCAATAAATATATAAGAAAAGGGATTTATAACGAAATGTAATATGATAAATAGTAAATATGATGGATGATAATTTAAAAAAAACTCACTCCTTTTCCTGCAACTATAATAACTGATCAACTGGTCTATCGAAATAAAATTTAGATTTCTAAATTTAGATTCATTTTATTTAGAAAAAAAGCAAAAAAAAATTTTACACAAGATTTAATTTACAAATTAAAAATTAATTTTCGATTTTGAGAAATAATAAACATTTCAATTATAATAAATAATAATAATATAAATAAAAAATAAAAATAAAAAAACTTGTGTAATTAACTTTCTGTTGTAATTTCATTGATGTTGATGTTATTGGTCGGAATATAGAAGAATATATAAATTGTATATTCTTTTTTCTCATAAACATTAAGTTTTTTTTTCTCTATTTCTTTCTTTTTTTATCTACGGAAACGCCATCTCTTTTCCAATTTGAGTAAGAAAACATTATAATAAATTTTTTAATTGAAAAACACTTTTTTCCTAACGTTTATCATTATTTTTTCTAATTATTAGCAAGATAAAATTATTTTTATGAATTGTTATTTTTAACGACAAAAAAAAATATTTTAAAAAAAAATACTAAAACTAAAAATGAAAACAACTGGTCTTTTCAGAAGAAATACGGTTGTAACAACATCACATAAACGCGATGACGATTTTGCTGATTATGCTACAGTAATTAGTGCTGAAGTATGGTTTTTTATGTTTTTTAACTATTATTTAATTTATATATTTTGGTAAAGATTTTTTTATAAAAACATTTTTTTATTGTATTTCAGGATGACCCAAAGAGACTTAAAGAATATATCACTAAGATTTATAAAGCTTACAGAGATAAGGTTCATATTATATAATACATTTCATATTATATATACAAATTACATTATGTTACATAAATTACATTACAATACACGGCATATTAATTAGTAATGTGTTTGTGATAATTCAGAGCAAAAGTCTTAGATCTGCTTATGCAAAACTTGATTTATTAAATAATGAAATAACTCAGGAGAAAACAAGGTTTCATGATATTGAAGATGAAAATCAATCACTCAGAGGTAATTTTATCGGGGACAAGAATGGAAATGAGCGAGAATATTAAATTAAAATTATAAAATATATGGTTATTATTATTATTATGTTATTTTTTAAAAAATATTAGACCAAATGCAAGGAATGGCTGATCAATTAGTGTCGAAAGAAGAGGAATTTAATGAATGGCAAAAACAAGTATGAAAATTTTTACACATATATAAATTTATCACCCTGTTACGATTTCACTCACACGCTTGTTATTGTAGTTGGCAGAACAGACAAAAAGAGAACGTGAAGTTCTAAGTGAAGAGTTTGAGGAACAGGGAACGCAGCTTAAAGAAAGAATTAATCAACTCGAAGATGCATTAAATCTTGCAAATTTAGAAATCACAAGATTAACCATCGAAATGGCCGAATTAACAGATCCTTGTCAATCTTCTGCTTCAGATTCAGGAAACGAAAGTAGATCTTCATTGGAAATACTCTTCACCGACAAAGTAATATTATATAAAATTTTTTTTATATTAATATATTCATCATAATATTCTTTTAATTACACAACAAAAAGTCTCACCAAAATAAATCTTCCCACTAACATATTCAAGAAAAAAAACTTCGATCAAGATAAACACGAATTAACTAAACAAATACTTGAAATCACACAGCGTAGGATGAGTTTACAGACTGAATTGACATTAGTGGAAGAAGAAAATACTGATTTAAAGGTAAACATCATAATCTTTACTCTTCATAATCCTGGTAGTAATAATAATAATACGATCTATTATTGTTGTTGCTACTAACAAAAAAAAAAAAACAAAAAAAAAAAGGAAAATCGTGGTCGTTATTATTATTCTTCATCTTCATCTTCAGAAATAGCTTTTAAAGATCAAATAAGACAATTTTATGTGGGTATTGAAAATTGACAAAGATTTTTTAATTCTTGTTTTTTTTATGTTATGTGATTTTATTTTATTTGTGTGGTGTTTGTATGTGTGTGTTTGTCGATAAATCAATATATATTAAAAAAAGCTTCAATACACACAAATCACGAAGGAGAATCAAACCTTACGACGCGAAAATGATGAACTCAAACAACAAGTTGGAAAGAAAATGTTTATGAGATCGATGGAAGACGTTAATCTTGATGATTAGGGAAGGACGAGGTGAAGAATAAGAAGAAAGACGTGGGAAGTATAATGAATATTAATAAACAAATGTGGATAAATGAATGAATGAATTAACGAGTGAATGTGAAAATTATTGTCATGGTTTAACGGTAAAATGTTATATTTAATACATTAATTATTAGGAAAAAGGTTCATCACTAAATTTTTTATTAATTATTTTATATATAGAATTCAAATGTTAATTCATGAATTGATTACTTTATGATCATTACTTAATAATATTTTCGATTAGAATGCTGGCATTCTTCCGTTATTTAATTCTTTCATTAATTTCACCTACTAATTTCCATCAATCCACCAATTCATTCATTCATATCCATATTCTTTATCTTTGTAAATATTTATCAAATTTTTAATTTTTATTTAAATTCTTTTGTTTCCTCGTCTCTTTTTTTCACCTTTTTATATTTCCTTTTATATATATGTATATGTAAGTTTCTGTTTTTTAGCTTTTTTCTCATTTATTTATTTAAATATGTCTTATGGAATTTATTATTCGGGATTTATTATTTTTAAAAAAAAAAAAAAAAAACAAAAAAAATTCAAAACTTAATGTTTTATCAATTACATATGAATAAAAACAAACCATTTTAAAGAATACACAGTATGGAAGAAAACGTTTTTTAATGATTATACAAAATTTATATAAAATAAATAAATACGCCCGTAAAAAAAGTATGTTTAGAACTTTATATGCTTTTGGTAGTTGAAATTTGTAATTGTGCTATTGTGTGATATTAATTACCTTGTTAGTCACGTATATTGGCTTTGGACAAATGATATATACATGTATTTTCATCTTTGAGAAATAATTCTTGATGCTCGAGATCCATAGGAGTGGGTGTCAATATTGGGAATGATAAAACTTTAATATCTTTTATAATATTATGATTTCTATCTAGTTTACAACAGCTTAAATTCATGGGAAGGAAGGAACCATTAACAATCCTCTTGAACTTTTGTCACGCCAAGATTAGATAAAAGCTTTAAAAAGAAAATGTTTAATTTCACAATACCATCCAACTTTTTAAAATATGCTTCTAAACTAGATTTAATATCGAAAGCCCTTCTCATTTTCATACTGGATCTTTTACAACGTCTACAATATAATCCACGATAGAGTCACTTGCTTAATCCAAAACTGCAACCACAATTGAATTTGATATAATGTGGATGAAATTTAATTCAATATTTTTTTCATAAAAATTTAAATGGTTATAATATTTTTTTATTTTGTTCCCATAATTGTTATCACCAGATGTTTCTTAATTCCAAACTAAGTATGTCAATAGGACCAACTACTACTGCTAATGTCTTTAATATGCCACTTTTATTGAGGCAATTATCTTTAAAATTTTAGAAAAAACAAAAACTTTCATAGTAACGTTTGGGTATCCATGACAATTCACTATATTATATATATTAAATAATTATGTACTCACTAATATATGTGTGTGTGTGTATTAGGTAAATAATTGAAATAATGTTCCAATTGATAATAATCGAATAGAGTAGAAAATTATTTTATAATAAAGTCATTGTCTTTATCTAATAAACTTCATATTTACTTGAGTTGTATAGATGTTTAATAATAGAAAGCAAACCTTTTCTTCGATGAAACTTTAGACTGCTTGATGGCATACACTCGAGTTTACATTTAAAAGTGACCATTAATTTGCCTCGTTATTATTATTATTAAACATTTATTTACCCATAAGTTTAGAAAGTTATTTAAGCCTCGGCGAATTTTAAAGCACAAATTCAGGAGAAGGCTCATCCTTTAAACTCATTACAAAAGTTTTCAAAAGAAAAAATTCGCGTAATTATTGATTCCTATTGCATTTTGCGTTAACATGTTCAATTTATCATAGTTGATAAAAATTCAGACACTTTTGAAACGGTCAATGTGGTAATTTCTGTATGACAGACTAAATAATAATCTTTACCGGTATCTACCCGGGCCTTCTTGAACACATCTGATGAGCCTATCTCGAAGGTTTTGCTAAAACTAGACATAAAACGATTCGCAAAAAACAATTGCGAGGTATTAATATATCCAGAAAAGAATAACATATATATATATATATATATTCTACACAATTGTAGGGTCAACATTGGACACACGATGAGATAACTATTTGTTGAGGCATGTTTTTAGTCGAAGAATAGATTTTACAGTTTAGGCTTAAGAATATCAGCTTGTACAATCTCATCAATATAGAAAATGAAAAGAGATATTTGCAGTAGTTTTTAATTAATTAAATGGGAAAAGAAATCACTTTAAGGCGGTGGTAATAATAATAATAATCGTTATAGAAATAATTCAATTTAAAAAAATATATAATATATTTTCCTTCCTATTTGTTGTAATTTGTAAATGAAAAGCAACCAAATGAAATTCATTTCATTTATAATAAATTTATCACACACCATTTATATTATTGTTTTTCTACAAAAAAAAGTTTTTTCATTGTTTTGTGCTAACATTCTTTTATTGGCTATAATTTTTCTTTCTTTATAAATCTCATAGGTGATTTTCTCTTTTCTTAGATAAGCTTTCAGTGATTGAGTGTATATCATTTATTTTGAAAACATAAGGTACACCTTGTTGGTAATTAAATAAATAATTACAACATCTTTGAATATGATGATAATTATAATTTTAACCCAGGGTTGAAATTAATATTATTATGATATTAACTTTATAGGAATATGATCCTTTTTGATGATTTGTGTTGTAGTTAAGTCTTGCTGTTCTTGGATGAAGATGTTGATGTTGAAGTTAATATTGAAGTTGGTGAAAATGTGGATTTTGATTTAGAAGAAACGGCATTTCTAGTCGCAGTAGTAAGCATGCCAATTCTTTCTTTTATTCCTTTCTTCTCATGATCATCCTCGCCATTTATTACTACTGCTATAAGTACCATGAAAACTTGTTTCCATTTTTATTCTAATTCCCACCATTATCAGGATTATTAGTATAAGTTGTAGTGGTAGCAGTGATAAATCATCTGATGCTTGTTTTATGGCTCCATTTTGTTTTTGTTTTTGTTTTAATTTGTATTTGCTTCCTTTTTGTGAATATCTTAAGATTAAGATTATCTGTATTGGATATATATAAAAAAAAAACAACTAATTGGTGTATATAATGAAACATACTAATTTTTTGAGCTAAAGAGTTTAACACTTAATTTTGTCCATTTAGTCTTTGTTTAAGTATATATCTTCAGGTAACTCGACATATATATGTGTGTATGTGTATATATGTTAATCGCTTATTTTATTTTTGGTAAGATATTAAAACATACCAAACCATGCCATTATAAAAATCTTTTTATAATCATGCTGCCTACTTCAAAATTACTAAAACTAAAATAAAAGTTTTTGAAGCTAGTGTATAAAGGTTAAAGTTTTAAAAAACAATGTAATTAATAATGTTTTGAAATTATTTACATGTAATCGAAAAATCAATCAATTTAGGTATGAAAATAAAGGTGCTCACACATTATTATCATTAATTGAAATCAATGCCATGTTTTTTTGTAAGAGAAAAAGAAAAATTCAAATTGCAACTTATTTGAATTAAAAAATTGAAATTTAAAATATTCATCTCCCATTTTATTTTTATTCCATTAAATTTAGTAATAAAATATAAAATGAAAAAAAAAACTAAAAAGATAAAAAATCATCTTATATGATTTATTACCTTATTTCCACTACCATCATAACTTTCATTGCTGCCACTAATATATTTATTTTCGTAAAATTTTTATAAAAACAAAAAAAAAGAGAATATCTAAGCTAAAGCTAAAAGGATAATAAGAAAGAATAATATTTATTCTTCATAATTCCCAACCTACAATTTCAATTCCTAATTTCAAATTTCAGTTCTTAATTCCAAATTTCAAATCCTTAATTTCCAATTTCTAAACCCTTCCATAGAACACACATTCAATAAGATTTGTAGTGCAAGGTCCTGATAATAATTCTTTAACTTGAGCTGGTGGCTGCAATCCGAGTTTGCATGCTCTGTTCCATCTTTGTAGTCTCGTTAATCCTACGCATGGTCCGTATGTGTAATCCATATCGAAAGCGATAAGAATTCTCTCTTCTTCACTAAGATCATCGTAATGAAATACTTTCAAATAATAATGATAATATTGTTATTATTGCTATTACAACATTATTAATCTTATTAGCACTATTAATTAATAGTAATTTTAAACTCACCTAATTTTGATCTAATTTCAGATCCAACAGAATAAGACGATGACGATGATGTGGCAATAGAAGAATTGGTAGTAACGCCGATATTTGTACTAGCACTTGTACCAATAGCAGTAATATTATCATCTTCTTCCACTTCTGCCCCTCCTTCGACTTCTTGATATGATAACGATAATAACTCATCTAAATCTTCATCTTGTTCGAATTCTGATTCAAACAATTTTTGGTTATCATCACTATTATTATCACTATTATCGCTACTATTACTATCACTGTTTTCAGCATTATAGCCTTCAGGATCATCATTACTTTTTCTTCTATTTCTTAAAATTACACGACTCTTCTCTTGCTGTTTTGGTTTTTCTTTATCGTTATTGTCATCAGTAATGTTAATAACATGAGTGTCATTAGTTGTCGTAGCATTATTATGTTTTAGTTTCTTTTTTGGTTGAGTGCTGTCACCTTCATTTTTATTTGTGGACCAAAAATCAGTTAGTTTTTGTTTCGTTTCTTTTTTCTTTGGTGGCATTTTGATTGACTTATTTAGTTGGTCTTTTAAAATAAATATATTAATAAACAGATGTGCGTCTTTATAAAATAATATATTTTAATTTTTTTTAAATAAAAGAATGAAGTGAAATAATCAGAAAAAAAAGAAAAAAAGAAGTTAGTAGAAATGAAAGAAATGTTGTTGTTCATTACCTCAAAAAAATTAGATGTAGTTGATAATAATAATTCCCGTAAATCTATCCGAAGTTGATCTATAACAATAATACGAATAAAGAAAAAATTAGTTTTACCTTTTTATATAACTAAATAATTATTAGAAAGTTTTTGTTTAATTCTATTACTTGAAATGAATAAATATCATTATTATTATCATGAATCCTAAATGGTGAATTTGTTGATGTTATGGTAAAAGTAAGTATGAACATTAAAGAAGTAATAACATAATTATTTAAGTATTTATTTAATTCAGCCAGGCTGACAAGTTATTATTAACTGAATGATCTAATTTAGCTGGGCTCGACAAATTACTCCCCCCTCACTGTCATGTATTAATTATTATCATGTTTCTTCCAATAATTAACCCAATGTCTAACATTTATATGATTCTCTATTTCCACTTTTGTAAACTCTAAAATGCCTAAATTGCCATACAATTCTTGAACCGGATTATTAATTGAGTTGGCGAGTAACTTGTTTATGCGACTAGATCATTCTAATAATTCGTCTCTTTTGGCTTGATGTTGAATGACTTTTCATTGAAGCTATGTATAAAATATTACAAAAAAAAAGTCTGTATACATGTTTTGTGTGATCATTATTAACATTAAATAATTATAAGGAATAAACTGCTCTCGGACAATCTGCAAACACCAAAAAACGATCTGTTTGATTGTTGGGAATTTGTTTAGAGGTGTAGAAGTGTATCTTCAAGACTCGGATATTTAAAACATTTCCAACTGTTCTCTTCTTCCTTGGTGAAGGAAAGGCTAATTTGGCCTGATACACCCGATGATACAATGATGCGATTAAATTTCAAGGGGGTGGGACTCATGACCCTGGGATTTTATTGATTGCATTGTTGTCAAAGAGAGTGTTAAAACTTCTCGATTGTCTGAAGCCTATCAATTCTATGGTTATGAGAGTGTGAAAGCGATGCATATTGATTACTTGTTTGTAAAAGGAAAATTTTATCAAATCTGACACTAGGATCAGGGTTGTTGGCGTGCTGACAATATCCACACGTAATATCAATAACAACAACATCACATCCTACATGGAAAAAGCTTCAACAAAAATATCAAGGATTTATTTTCCAACATCGCCAATTTTCTCTGGCTTTTTTCAAAATTGATTCCTTGAAAGGTTCATTTCTGGATGGTCTTGGTATTATTGTTAATTGGACAATGCAATTATTTATTATGCATAATGACAGCAAAAAAAAAGACAAGCAATGTTTTATTCAACAAAGAGAAAATACATAATGATTTAATTTATATGTGTAAATATTAAATATCAAGATAATACCCATCAGAGAAATTGCATGAGAATCCAAAGCCATTGATGCGTATTATCTATTCTTTGGTCACTCAAATCTATACTATATTTTCGCTATTATTAATAATAATTACTAATATTAGTATCTTCTTTATCTTCTATATCATCTCCAGTTTCATCATTGGAAATACTGTAGTAATTTAAAGTAAACTTATTTTATAAATGACTGACTAGTTATTTGTTTATTTATTTATCGAGTAGAAATCTCATATGAAAATATTGGTATGAACAGAACTAATAGTGATCATAGTAGTTGATATAAATAACATGAATGAATGAAAAGATGTAATACGGACGATAGTCACGTTCTTAATTTGCTCGTTTTTCAAAGTGGTAGAAAATAAACACTGAACAGAATGTGTCCTTTGATGCATTAATTGTTAAGAAACACACAGGGTTATTCAAATCGATTGGTGAAACAACCAGATCTTGCGAGGGCTTTCTAATTAATCTTTCATATTAAAGATGGTGTGATGATCAATCATATTTTCTTGGATAATAATTATATAAATTAAAAGTTGTGTAAAGCTTCTTACGATTAAAAATAAGGTGTTTTTTAAATTCATTAAAAAAAATTCCAACAAGGAACACACATATCTATAATCAATTCATCGAAATAATTACCCCGTAATAGTAATAAATAAAATTTTATCTATACTAGGATTTGTTTTGGGCTTGACTTAATAATTGTTCTAATTGTTTTATTCTTGCTTATGTTTCTGCTAAACTGATAATCTTTGCCTCCGCAGAATACGTAGTAAATAAGAATAATCCAAAAGGTATGAAAGTAATCAAAGATTCACAATCACGTTAATCCTAAAATCACCTATGTAATATATAGTCTTAGTTTTAATTTATGGAGTATATTTATTTATATTATTAATATTGGGCGGACGCTTATTATTTTAATAATAATAATAAACAGTATATATACAACTCGGAAAATAATGTATAAATAAAATACCTATTAATTACAAGTAAAATACTTATTATATTTTTATTTCCCATTAAACTTAATAATAATAACAGATAGAAGATTTTTGTAAAAATTTATAGCGTAAAATAAAACCAATTATTTATTTTATTATATTTATATGAATCCACCAAATCGTTAATTCAATAAATTTTAGTGTGGAAGGTTTGTTTTTTTTTAATTCTTTGCAAGATTATTGTTTCTAATATCAATCAATTAAAATTTTCTTTCCTTTTCTGTAATAAGATATAATTATTATTTAATAAAAATAACTTACTTTTTTATTATTATTATTACCCGCATTATAAAAATTATTAATAAATTTATGATTATTACTTTTAAGAATATTATCATTGTCATTACTGTTATGATTATTAGTATTATTATTATGTGATAATTCACTTGGCACAAATAAATCTCCAACTTGACTTGAAAGTTGACCAAATGAATCACCGTCTCCAACCAAAGATAAAAATTTCGCCAGCGCACCTGCTCCAGGACTTAGCCGAGTTGTAAGTCCCAATTCGTTAATATTTTCTTCGTTATCATCATCGTCATCATCCTCTTCTGTTTTATCATCATCATCATCATCACCACCACCATCACCATCACCACTCTGATAATTCATTAATGTCGATTTCGTTGGAAATGGCGACGAAATTGCCGATGATAATGACGACGATGATGATGACGATGATGAAGAAGAAGGTGATGATGATATAGGTGTTCTTTCATGATCTCGTGTAATATATTGTAATTTACATGCAATGTAACCTCCAGAATTTTGTAATTTTTCTAATTCAGGTTCATACTTTTCAAGCTGATAAAGTAATTCTTTGTGTCTTTGTAATTCATCGATCCTTAAGAAAAATAATTCATCAGGAAGTGATATAATTTGTTGTTGGATACGATATTTCTAAAAAAATTGATATTATGAATAGTTACGAATGTATAAATAAGAAAGATTGTTATAATTACCATAGTTATGAGATTCCTCGCTGCCATGTCATTGTTCTTTGTGACAATATAATATAACGGAATTAATCGATTGATTTTTGCGTATAAAGGAATTAACTCTGAAATAATATTTGAATAATCGATCTTTTTTTTCTTGCTAACTTCTTGAATAAGCGTTAGATTTACTATTTCATAAATGAAATATTATTAATATTAATTATTAAAGTTATATATATATGTGTTGGATATATTGTACCTCCAGTATTTTTAATTTCATTGTCAAGTTCATTTGTTTTTTGTATGGCTTGTTGATACTGTGCTGCACTGATCACAATTACAGTTTGAAAAGGACTTGGTAATATAGTGAAGGGTATTGAAGGTTTTGGTGCGGTTGATTTATTTAAAATTATGGAATTATTTTTTGACATTTTGGTATTGGGAAAGAAAATGGGAAAAATCAAATTCGAAAATTATATTGATTGTATTGATTGATCTTTTTTATAATAATTTAGATAACAAAATCAGTTTAACGTTACACAAACGACATTACTATCATATTCATCATCTACCACTTATTTTATACTAAATAAAAAATCATTACATAATTGATTATGCACAAAAGAACCCGGATCTTTTACCTGCATAAACCATATTAATATTAAATGGGGCACACAAAAACAGAAAATACAGAATTTCTTTTTTTTTCTTTCTTTTAGAGATAGCAGCAGTAATGGTAATTCAAACAATATTCCATTTTGTGGTGCATAAATATTTGATCATCTGTGGGGAAATGCATCCAATTATAGGCAGATTTTATTATTATTATTGGAAAGATTTAAGTTCTGATACTTCTAACTAATTTTAGAATAACAAATAGTCAATGAATTCTTTTATGTATTGTTGATTGGGTTTCTTATCATCATCATTACATTGTAAATTTGCAAGGAAATCGACAAAATACTTTAAAGAAATTGACCCTGACTTTTCATTTAATAAATCCGGCCGGGTTGTTACAAAAACCAATTCCAGGCAAGAAAAACAATAGAAGCAATTCAAGAGATGGTTAATGGAGAAAGGAGAAAGGGATAGTAGATGATGAAGAAGACGAATAGAATAGTAATATTATTATTTGGTAGTGATGGTGATAACAAATCAATAGTATCAGAGTGCAAATGGCTTCGGATCCGAGTATTTTCCTTTATAAATTAAAAATATTATATATATTAGTTGAATAACAATTTCTCTTGTTTGTATCATATAGATTTGATGTAAATAAATACCAAGACTGTGCAAATTAAACTTTTAAAGAACTGATTTTAAATGGCTGCATAATACAGTAATAATATGAACCTCTACTTGGATCTAATTGTAAATTTTTTTTACACGAGAAACTTCGAAAAAAAGAACATAGAACCCCAATTTCAATTAAACTCATTGCTACACTGAATTTTCCATTGCGACATATCCTTTAGAGCTTGGGACACATTTGTCTATCTTTTGGCGCAACTTGATTTATGAAAAATATTTTAGCCAACAACCTCGCTAGAGTTACACATTAAGACTTGATGGATTCGTACTGGAGAGGGAAGAACAATGTCGGAAAAAAGCGATTTACGTTTATTGAGGTTATACTCAGGTCATTGTTTCATTAATTTTGAATTAAAACATTAAATATAACAATCAAAGAAACCATTTGTTGATACATTGTTGCTTCACTGATCTTAAATAATGAATTCTTCTATTCAAGTAATATTTAATAATTTAATAATACTTATTCATATTATTTGTCAGATAATTTGATCTTGTAGTCGTCTAACTAATATCAATATGAAAAATAAATTCAATAGGTTCTGTTGGTTGTAGTATCCTTCATCGTTTAGATTAAGAAGAAATATAATAATCATTTAACACTGTGCTAGCTAATTAATGGATATTATTATAAATCCATTATCTATCTATCTTATCATACATGTATCTTTTCACGTTTACCTCTATCGCATACATCTTCACTGAAATAGCAATACAATCAACTTTATCTTTGTAAATAAAATCATACATATAATAAAACTATCATCACCTTTTTTTTTGTTGTTGTTGTGGAATCGAAATTTATAATTAAAAATTTTGGGGTGGGCGTTTGGATATGAAATTCTTAGCTAATTTGAATTTCACATACGTGAATTACAAATTCACATAGATTCCATTTTCACGCACAACTGGTTACAAGTTTTTTATACAAACGATAATTTATAAATTGTTTTGCCCTTGCTTGGCGTTGCACACATCAAATGAGTTTTTCCAAAAAAATTAGAGAAATTGGATAAAATTATATAGCTTGTTAAACGAATCACTCGACATGATAATGCAAATGAATATGATTACATTAAACTAATCAGTCATCAAAATTGGATTAGTATTTTATTCAATGATTAATCAAAAACTGTATCAGTCGTAAAAATTCATTATTTTGGTTTTTTTTTTATAAATCAAATAAATGAACAAAAAAGTTTTTTTGGATAAATTAGGAAAAGAGGGTTATATGCATAAATCAGATTGGCTTACAATCTGTGATTTTGATGTATTTATTAATATTGAGAAGAAATAAAAAATACATTATGTGATGATTACAAAAAAAAATTGAGATAAAGAAATATTCATATTTTTCTATGGATGTAAAAAAATTTACAAATTATCATTGAAATATGTATCAGATTCCATATAATGAATTTAATAATGTTGAATACTTGACCAAAGGTGGTTTTGGAAAAGTTCATAAAGCAACATGGATTGGCAATATTTTTCCTAATGGAAAATATGTTGTATTAAAATGATTATATAATTCTAAAACATTTATTATTAAATATATTTTTTTTAGTTAAAAGCACATGATAAAGTTAGATTTTATCAGCTGATGTTACCAATGTTCCTAAAGAGAGCGATTATTTGTTTTGAATATGCATAATAATTATCAAAAAATTTACTTGGGAAAATAAAATTACTTATTGCATTTGAGTAAGTTTTAAATTTTATTATTAGTCTTGATTTTTTATACATATAGATATATAATAAAATATTTAAATATATTATTTTTTTGTTGATAACATGAATTAGATTAAATAAAATTCATGGAAAAAAAAATCATACACATCATGACTTGCACAGTGGCAATATTCTTTCATATTCTGGGTAATATGTATAGGAGATCTAAGATGAAAAAGATAAACCAATAAAAATCTTTGGGGTTATTCCATACCTGGTACCTAAAGTAACAAGAAAACCATATATAATCAGTCATATAGTAATGTGGAAGTTCACTACCCCATTTTATGATAGATCGATCACATAATCATTGTCTTATATCAGATAATTTAAAAGGAGAGAGACCTCAAATCACTGACGATACTATGAATTTTATGCTGATATTATGCTGATCATGCATGGTCCAGAAAATAGACCAACAGCTAAAGAAATTTAAAGATTATTGAATTAGCAGAAGCTAAACAACAAGAAATTATTAATTCAGAAAAATACTTGTCAGAAACAGAGAATTATAAAACATCATCCAGAATCAGTTTATACAAGTTGTCTACTAAATGAATCAATTGAGCAAGCTGAATCATTAAAATCTTTCACATCAAAACCTATTGGTTTAATTTAATGATAATAGAAAGATTATTACTATTATTCTTATTATTCTTATTGTTATAATTGTTATTTATTATTATTATTCATTGTTCAACAACTTTTATGAATTTTATATGAATTCAATGGGATTATTATGGTTTAGGAGAAAGTCTTTCTGGTGGTCTTAACTCTTTATAAAGGTAATTAAATATCACCCGAGATAATTTATTATGTATGATATCATATAATATATTATTTTTAAAAATAAAATACAATATAATATTATTCATTTATTATTTATTGCGGCGTAATTATATAATAAAAAAATGCCTTGGCACTAATCTCTGGTCTTATCAAACCATGGTTCCACTCAAGATACTTCAAGTATTGGTCGTCGAGCCAAAGTTTTTCATAATTAATCAATTACAAATATTACATTTCCACTTCTGCGTTTTCCTCTTTTTTTTTTTGTATTATGATTATTACTCTCTGATGTTTTGGTAGTACATCTTATTTTCTATATTATTATATTATCAGTATCCAGATTCACCATGTGGTATTATTAAAAATCTGCGTTCGGATACTTTCTTCAGTGTGGATAATTTAAAAATTTTACACGTTAGGTAATGGTTGTAACATTTATGTTTATTATTATGTATGTAGTAGTGTAATCAATAAATAGGATTTATACAGAAACAATTCTACACATCGTCTTCTCTTCCTATTAAAAGATCAAATGTAAACATTACACGAGCAAACAGCAAATCCTACACAAGTGCCAGTTTGTTCTTAGAAAAATAAGGTTTTTCTTTGTATATGTGACTATCTGTATATTATCAGCTTGCTTTTCCGCAACTGGTTTATTCGTATTAGATATAGGTCAATTAAATTCCAACTATAATTATTTTTCATCGAGGACTTTTTCAATTTCTCCTCACGAGGTATGCAATCAATCATCACAATACTTTTAAGTCCTCTTCTTTTTCTTTTCCTTGGCATGGCTTTTAAACAAACTCACATAGGTTTAAGCTCGTTAGATCTATTCCATCTGCCACCACAGAAGCATTAGGCAGTCGACAATCTTATATAATGTGTAAAGACTAACATAACCCACCATAATTTTACAGTGTTTATTAATTCTGCTAAATTACAAATTTAGTCTCTTCGATTTTCCAATTCTACACCAATCCTGATTCCTGCTACTGCTGCTATTACCCCTATGAAAAGAAAAAAAATAAAACAAGAATAAGAAGCTATAAGTAGGACAAGAAAGTAAATCTAAAATTGTGATAAAAAAATTTTTTATTCATACAAAAATTTCACTATTTTTCAAAAATGTCAAACATTGTTAGATATCCAAAATATTATAATAAAATATTACTGCCGTTTACTTTTAAACATTATAATAATAAGTTTTGTTTTGTTACGAGAAATAGTAGTACTAGTTCAACAACAATTGGACAACCAGTACAACCAAAGAGATCAAATGGCGTTGGTGGATTTCGTGGAGGGTGAGTGATTGTGGTGTGTATGTATATAAAATAATAATAATAATGATAACAGCAACAAAAATAATTAAAAAATAGTTAATCATAATAATCATGTTATCTTTTTAATATTCTATTCTGTACGCGTGTTTATTTAGAATAATTGGATTCTTATTGGGTTTAACTGTTGCAGGCGGTACTGGATATTTTTATTTATTGGAAGAGTATAAATTGGCTTCTAGTATTTCTCTTGATACAGTCGAAGAACTTCAAAAATCTACAGACAAGGTTTTAAATTAATTATTTGATTATTATTCGAGAATCGATGGAAGGAATAATTAGAGTTATTTATTTATTCTAGATAGAATTATTTGAGACTAATTAGAGAAGAACATTTTGAGAAATCAATTAATAAATTTATTTGTTTATTTATTTATTTTTTTACTTATTTATTTATTTATTTAAGGTACGTGATTATGCTAAAAAAATTGAAACAATAGAATCTGAATTAAACGCTCTTCAATCAGTTGCTGCTACTACAGATCAAATCAAAGAATTAAGAAGTGAATATAGGAAATTATATGTATGTGTAATGAAATATATTAAATTTCATATATTAATTTATTTCATTTATATGGATTAATTTATTTTTTTAAAAAAAAACAAAGGATAATCTTAATATACAACATCTTGAACTTAAAGCATATGTTTGGGGCCTTGGTTAGTAACAAAATAAAAATTATTTGATAAAATTATTAAAAATTATTGATTGTTAATTAAATTGTAATTGCATATTTTAGAACAAGATATTCAAGCAAATAGAAAATAAGAAAATAAATAAATTTTTTTATAAAATTATAAAAAAAAATGAGTGAATGGAATTATATTAAATAAATAATAAAATCCTTATTATTCCAAATCAATGGATGAATCCCACGCATTCATGTCTCATTCTTTATAGATTTTATTTGATGATTGTATTCACAACAAAATTTAAATCAAATCATGTTAATTTGGGTTCAACTGTTTTTGGTCAATGGATAACACATTATTATCTCGCATTTTTTAAAAGATATTTTATTAAAGTTAACAAATTGGATAGAAGAAAATTATCCTTTGATGATAAATCTTTTCCAAATTTCGATGATGTTATCAAATATTGGAAATTTATTAGATTAAAAGAACTATCATCATTGGCATTGCAATTTGCACCAATCTATATCAGCAGAAAAATTATTTAGTTCGATAGGCTTCTTTTATAATAAAAGAAGAAATAGTTTGAATGTGAGTTTAAGTTTGAATTGTTTATGCTAATATTTCATCAAAGTGATTAATATTTTTTTTTCAGTATAAAAAAGTTTTGGCTATGTCTCAAATCGAAGCTGAATTAATCTATGAGCAGATAATTAAGAAACTTTTTTGGCCCTTATCATTCTAAGAGTGCTTTACCATTTGAAGAGAGCGGAATAACCAACTACTTTAGATTTCTTATTATCAACAGTATATGAAGAATGGGTTTTTTGTTCTATTGTAATTACTATTATTATCATCCCCATGTAGTATCCTTTTGTTATATGATGACAATGTTGGAATAGCCGTTGTTTTCGTTGCTGGATGACATATGAAAGCACATATATTCTGATGCCAACTTTATATCTCCGCTTTCATCAAAATCGATTAATTTTGGTTTGCAATTCTTACAAATAGCATCCGTAATTATTTTAATTTATCTGGGCAATATTTTCTTCCTGTGCTTTCGAAGATAGACGAACTAACCTTTTCAAAAAATAAATTCTTGTTTGTTTACAAGAATCGTAATTAAAAACGAATGATCCCATCTGCCTTTTGTGTTGAAAATATAATACAAGTAACGTATTTAATAGGCATCTATGCGATAAGTTATATTTCAGATTTCCTATCCAATCAATTAGACCCGGAAAACCATTCTAGGTATTCAAATATGCTCTTAGTTGCATGAATTTGATTTTAAATGTTTCTTTATAAGGTCAGATTCTCAGCCCTTCTATCGTGCATGTCTCACTATATCTTGTGCTAAACTTCTTAAGGAGTATTATCATCTAAAAGGACCTAATTGCCAAATTTGTACTAAATCAAATCTAATTCTAATTCTAAATCTCCCAATCCAAATTTTATTTGAAGTTAGATTTTTAAAGATTGTCAATATATTTATACGAGATGACAGCTTAGATTTTACATTAGTCTCTGACCAACAAGTAGTTCCTTATTCTATTTCAAATTCTTGTTGAAACGCCAACTATTTATTAATACCTAACCTTAGTAATTTAACGCAAAATCATTCCTAGAAGCAGCAGCCAGGAGAAACAGCTTCCATATTGAATACATGATCCTAAACTTTAATATCATACCATCTCTTTCCAATATATGAATGGCAGTGTTTTTTCATGCATCCAATTTTTAAAATTATATTAAAAACAATTCTGATATGTAAATCGAATGAAGAAATTTAATAGGTATCATTGATGAAAATCCCTATATTTACATTTCTTGATATTTCTTTGTTCTGCCTTGGCATATTTATTGTAACTGGCATTGTAGCCTTTATTATCATGATTA